GAAAGCAAATTCTCCATAAATTTAAATTTTGAGCATGTAGAAAAGGAGAATCAGCTCTGTTTTCCAGTAAGCTTTCAAGGATAAATTCCCAACTCTGCAGATTTCTCGTCCAATGTTTATCGAAAATGAAGCAACTAGATCAGACTTAGGGGTGACTGAATGGGCGTAGGCCTTACATTAGGAGCTTTGTAAGATGGCCAAGAGCTCCCTTTGATATTTTCTTAAATGTTTTAAAAAACTGTTGTGCTTAATACCAGCCCGGAAGCCTTTGAACATGACTGGTTCTGTTCTAATACTTTCTGATTAAGCCATTTTCATTTCCAAAACTTTGCTTTACTGTACTCGTAGTTACAACTGCCAAAACACCTTAGGGAGGTATTTACGCGAGCGAGATTCGAACAGCTTGACACAATGGTCAGATATGGGAGATTCCATTCTATACCTTACAATGAGCGTCTCTGCATTTGCAGAGCGGCAGAGGTAGAAGACCTGGCTCACATACTATTTGATTGTTTCCTGTATAAGAGGGAGAGAGACAGGTACCTCGGTCTATATACCAGACGAATGACTCATTGGGATCCCCATAGCAAAACAACTTACCTTATGTGCGGCCAGAACTTGAAAATAACATTTAACACAGCACAGTATTTAAACAAAATGGCTCGGTTGAGATCTGCATATGTGGGACTGATTGGGGTAGATTGCAAGGGTGAATCCAAGGTATAATTTTATCATATTTTATCTATATTTTAAATTACTGTACTCTATTTTAATTTCATTTTAGACTGTATTTTACTCCAATTTCATCTTAAGTCATATTTTACTCTAGTTCCATTTTAAACTGTATTTTATCAAATTTTATTTTAAATGGCTTTTACCGGACTTTGGTAATGATTTGTTGCTGAAACTTTGCACTTTGATATGGCCCAAGGGCTAATCAATAAAGATTTATTATTTATTACTGTACTCTGTGCCTAGACCCTCATTCACCTTGACTTACTCCTAAAAACTAAGAAAGGATGACCTTCATTAGAATTTGATTGGGTTCCCCAAATGTTCTGGCCTTGAGGTGGTGGGCCTGTAGTAGGAGTCAAAAACGCCAACATGGCAGCGGCAGTTGTACAGGTGAAGTACCACGCCTTTTTACATGTGGCATATGATACATGTAAAAAAAAAGGGGGCAAGTTTCAAACTCCTCCCCAAGATGATGGCTTCTGAGGAATAAGAGGCTTTTTTTCTCTCTTATGATCTGCTTCCAGGTTCTTGTTCTTTGGCAGCCTTGTCTCCTGGATTTGAAAGGGGCCACTTAGGAATGACCCAAGATGACTTTTGGACAGCTGTGGATCCACCCGGGATGGGGGGGGGATCTTGGATATTACAGCTTCTTGTGGGAGCAGTCAAAAAGTCAATGGGTGTTTCCATCTTCCGGGCAGAAAGTTACCGTAAGCATGCCTGGGATTTTTATGTTCACTTTTTGAACTTTTGCTTCAATTGGCTGGCTGAATGCTGAATAATTTCAACACCTGCTGGATTCTTTCTACTCTCTTTTTTGCTTTCTTTTTATTTATTTATTTGACTGCTCTTATCAATTTCTGCTTTTCATAGGGAAACATGGCGCGTGACTCTGGATTTGTATTTTATTAACCTGCAAAAACTTTTTGGACTGAAATAGTTAGAAAATGTTTTCTCTGTCTCTGCTTGCTCCCTGCTTTGAGCAACAATATATAGGATTACACAGAGGAAGAGGAGGCTGACACTCAAGGGGGAAAACAGAGTCTGGCTAGCAACCTGCAAATTTTAAGTTTATTTTTTTTCTAAAAGGTTTGATGCACTTATAAAATCTGTGGGAAACATTTTGAAAAAAATAGACACTAAACACTTTAAATTTACAAAAAGAACCTGTTTTCAAAGTAGCAGATTCATTGGGAAGAAATACAGATACAGAAACAACACAGATTGTGGAGAACATTGAGAAGAAATGTGATTTCCTAGCTGTAAACTGGCCAGGAAGAAATATAGACTCAGAAATAATAGAACAGATTCTATATACCAGGGGTCCTCAATCCCCGGTCCATGAACCAGTACCAGGCTGCGGCATGCCAGCAACTGGGCCACACAAACAAGCAAGGCCCCATCAGCGAGATGCAGGCAGCACACAAAACCGTGCACCCTCTGGTCGACGGAAAAACCTCTCTCCATAGAACCTGTCCCCGGTGCCCAAAAGGTTGGGGACCTCTGCTATATACCTTCCAGAAGCTTAACATGGTGCTATTATATAATAGCAGAGAAATCTCTGGGTGGACTAGTTGCAAATGTGTTTTTTTTTTAAGGGGTTTGAAGAAGAGTGGCAAATGGACTTCATGCATCTAATTGATGAGTGATCTTATCTGTTTCTTTGAGGGAAGGAAGATAGATTGGCTTTGGAGATTGGATTTATTGTATTCAATTAATCAGCAATTGATAAGAGATGCATCCTGTAAAGAAAAAACGGATATTTGATCCGGGATCAATTAGGATTAATATTTGGGATGTTTTGGGATTGAAGCCATGGAAAATTTTCTACAAGTTGATTGTAATCACAGTTTGTTAACAGAGGGTTCTGGAATTTCAAACTTCCCTTTTATTCACAAGTTTATTACTTTTATATAATGTATTTATTACTATTGTTTTTTCTGTTAACTATTTTATTATTAATATAGTTTATAGATGACAGGTTAACAGTTTGTAAAAAGATTTAGTGGTTTACTAATTTAAAATTCTTTTGGCCTGTTTCACAAAGGATGGGAAACCAGCATTGCTGTATTATATTAATCAGTATTCAGCTAGGGAGAATGTTATTTGTATACGTGTTAGTCTTTTTTTTCTTTTTCTTTTTTTAAGACACTTTTTCTTTTTAATGTCTTTTTTGCTGTTTTTTAATTCCTTTGTCCTTTAAAATATTTTGGTGTTTTGTATTTTAATCTTCCTTGAATAAACTAAAAATTTCTGAAGAGAAAAAAAAGCGGCAAGATTCAATCACATAGTCATCTCTTGATTTTTTTGTACCCTCCCCCATCCATGGACACTCTGTTTAATTGCAAACCACTTCCATATTGTTGCTAAGAAAACTATTTATTAAATCAGATGAGCCTTACTTGAAACACGTATTTTGTACATTCTTTGTATGAGCATCCATGGGGGCAGGATAAAAAGAAACAAATCACATAGTTATTATCAATAAACTACACAGTTGATACAAATTCTATAATTACATCATTTGTTTAATCCTGTTATGTCTCACACATCTTTTGGATGTCACTGTGACTTGTTAGAGAGGTAATTGCTTTTTTAGTGTTTTAGCAAAGGCAATAGCAATAACACATAGACTTATATACCGCTTCATAGTGGTCTCTAAGTGGTTTTACAGAGTCAGCATATTGCCCCCAACAATCTGGGTCCTCATTTTACTGATCTTGGAAGGATGGAAGGCTGAGTCAACCTTGAGCCAATCAAGATCAAACTCCTGGCAGCGGGAAGAGTTTTAAAGTAGAGAACTTGGATGAAATATTTAAACATACCCCATCTCTCTCTGTATGTGTTTCATGATACGTCATGCTGGGAGCTGTAAAAATAATCCTAATTTTAAGGGATCCTAATTTTAAGGGCTCCAAAATGTTTAGATTTTCTTTGCATTTTAAAGAAAGAGCAAAGGAGATAGAAAAAAGTAAAACTGCAGGATAAGTCTAAATTCTGAAATGGAAACATAGGAGGCAGGGAAAAAAATTACTAAAGGAAAGTGAAAGACACACACATATGAAGCAAAAAAAGTAATTTGACCAGAATTACCATTTCCAATTCCTCAAATTTGGCCATTGTAACTTGACTTTAGAGACCTGTCAGTTGATTTGTATTTATTTCTAAAAACCATCATCTCTGTTGGGACAAGATGAAAAGAAGCTATGGGTTTTTTTGAGCTAATCTTTCCCAGTATTGTAACTGAAAGAAATTGTAGATTGAGTTTTGGGTACTAGTTAAATAACGCTCAGTAAATCCAGAAAGACTCAGAAATTCTATTTCACACATCAGTCTAGAAACTAACACCTGAAGTGCAAACAATTCTGCCATATAAACATTCTGTGAAGGTTCTGACTGATGAACCCAAACAAACAAACATCTTCAAGACATTCCAATCTCTTAATGTAAAACTTTATTGAGTACATCATTTCGGCACGTATGAAAGCAAAACCAGCTCTGACAAACCGCAGGCCAAACCCCTATAGTAAAAGTATAGAATTCCCCCTCCCATCCCTGAACAGGTCACATTGCCCAATTAGGTACAATTATATTGTTATGAGAAAATGTCTCTGAGTCAGGTCAGACACCTGATGAATCGTCCTTGATTCTGCCTTCTTTATCTTTGTAGCCCACGTTCCATTTCCCCATTCTCCCTGCAAGTTCGTTGGCAAGCTAAGAAGTAATCATTGTTGCAGCAGCAAAGCGAGCTTCAAGTTTGAAACATTCCTTTACCACTTATAGATTCTTCGTAGTACTTATGAACTGCAAAACAAAAAAGGTTACACCGTCAGAGGTTTTGGTTGAGTATACTTCACTCTTGAAAAGCCAGAGGATGATATTGGCTGCAGAGCGTTAAAGCTTCATCCCCTTTTTCATGCATTACAATAGAGGTCCCCAACCTTTTGGGCATCAGGGACTGGTTCCATGGAGAAAGGTTTTTCCACGGACCAGAGAGGGCATGGTTTTGTGTGCTGCCTGCGTCCCACGGATGGGGCTTTGCTTGTTTGTGCGGACCGGTTGCTGGCATGCCACGGCCCAGTATCGGTCCACAGACCAGGGGTTGGGGACCCCTGCATTACAGGTTGAAGGTGAAGTTTTTTAAGCCTTTTGTTTAGTTAAATAGATCAATGTATATATATATAGCGTAGGTGCATATATGTCCCCCTCTTCTAACTTCACAATTTTGTCTCGTTCACTAGGTAATTCTCAAACAGCTCAATGAAAAGAAAACAATGACAAGTTGTGGTCGGCAATCCTTACATACACTGATGATTGTATTCTGTTCACTCTTGTCAGCAGGTAAGTTTGACTTTTTAATTTATCAGTGGCTTTTGTTTTGATTTGCCTGAAACCAGTGGCTTTTGTTTTGATTTCCCTGAAATATTGTTTTTCTTAGTTGCTAAGAAAAACAAAAATAAACGTCTTTTTTGTATGAGCTTTTCATGGGTCAGCACAGAGTTAATAAAAGACAACAGAAGAAAATGACACTTGTTTTTCTTACAAAAGCTCCTTTCACCATCTGGCTGTTTTGTTCCTGTTTGTTTTTAAATAACAATAGAGCTGATATGTCTTGGGAAAGGCGAATAAACCACCCTAGAAATAGTTTATTTAATATGGGTGCATATTATTTCCTGCTGTTCATTGGTTTAATAGAGCAACACCAGTAAAAATAACCTATCGGCAGATATTTCAAGACCTCTGAATATCTTGAGTAGAAAGATCTTTAAAATGCAGAGTTTGGGGAAAACAGGGTGAAAAGAGTTTTTAAGAAAAGATCGATCTGCACCTCAGATAAAGTGGCATTTCCAGGTTGACATGGACTTTGTGATTATACCAAAGACTATGGGTCCAGAAAGGTCAAGATGGCGGTAGCAATTGTCTACCACATGTAAAAAAAAAAACAACTAGGTGGTGTTTTGATTATATGGCTATGGCCATGATCGTGACTCTTTTTTCTCTCCTTGCAGTGTTTCTCAACCTGGACCATTTTAAGGCATATGGACTTCAACTCCCAGAATTCCACAGCCAGCAATGCTGGCTGTGGAATTCTGGGAGTTGAGGTCCACATGCCTTAAAATTATCCAGGTTGAGAAACACTGCTAAGGACACTACAACTGGGACAGATCAGGATATAATGACTGATTCTCCCGTTTCTGAAAAGCTCATAATCTACTAATTGTCTAGATGTGTCTCCCACCCTAGTTAAAATAAGCAACCATTTTTACCTCCACAAAGGTGGGCTTTGATTTGATTTTCCCTTATGTGAACCACAGCAACTACAACCACAGGCTCCTAAAGGACTCTCTCAAGGCTATATTGATCGAGGGCAGATTGCAATAGATGTTTGGGTTTTGTATCCTTTTGTTCTCTTGAATGTCCCAGACACCTTTGTATTTGATGCATCATTAGCCACAGACAGTCAGGAGGGTGCTTGGTCTCAGAAAACCCCTTTGTTGTATTGATTTCAACAGGGAAATTAAAGGGCTTTGTTTACCGGAAAAATCAATAGAACTTAACCATTAGAGCCTAATCAGTCCGTGAAATGGAGAATCTCATTTCACATGTAAGGCTATAGCTTTGGGGAAAAAATGAAACCATATCTTTGGTTGGAAGAGAACGTTAAGCCTGTAGATCCATGAAATTAAGATGCCTCCGGCTGATTGGAGATATAGGACCACACCAGTGTTTTTCAATCTTGGCCACTTTAAGATGAGTGGATTTTTTTAGCCTCCAGAATTCCCCATCCAGTTTATTTCCCAGCGAGCAGTCAGCATAGAGCAGTGGTGGCGAACCTATGGCACGAGTCCCAGAGGCGGCACTTGGAGCCCTCTCTGTGGGCACGCACGCCATTGCCCCAGCCCTGCCTCCTCCCGTGGCCCCCTCCTCACCAGCAGCCCCCTGGAGGAGAGTCACCCCCAAATGCAGCCCCCGTGGAGCAACGCAGCCAAGCACATGGCAACTGGGCAGCAGTTGCTGCTGCGGGACGCAGGCGGAGGGCGTGGCCATCATGGCGCTGCTGCAGGGCCGCCTGGGCCATCTGTGGTGGGCTGTGGATGGCCCTGAGGGCGGACAGGGTGAGGGTGGGGCAGGGCGGGGGCGGGTGGGCAGAGTGAGGGCAGGGTGAGGGTGGGGCGGTTTTTGGGCACTCGGTCTCTAAAAGGTTCGCCATCACTGACATAGAAGGTGGTATAGAACCCAACATACTGGCTGGGAATTCTGGGAACTGAAGTCCACATATCTTAAAGTTGCAAGGTTGAAAAACACTGGATTATACTGTAAAGAATTAAAAATGGTATTCAGACAATGTCAGTTCCAATGAGAAGAAAAAACTTTTGGATTGAAACTAATCTAAGCTATAATCCTGTTGCAACAGTTTGGGGAAATATAGGGGTTGTTTTGGGGGTTTTTTGCCCCAAGTTCACAGCTGTGGCATTAAGAAAGCCCAAGATCTACCTGAGATGACAGAGGTGTGTGTGCATATGATGAAGGGAAGAGATCTTGGAGAATGAAAGGAAGAGATGTTGCCAGGGGGAACCATCAGATAAGAGCAGACAGAGCCCCCAGTCACTTTAATGGTCAGAGAAAAAAATTTAGGAAGCAGCCGCCATAATGGATTAAGTAGTTAAAAGTGGCGCCGGGAAATTTATACTTGCGGATTTGCCAGATTGCTAGTGTAATCTTACAATTATTATTATTATGTTGCTTTGCATGTAGCCTGAGTGCTTCTGTACTGGAGACAAATTCCTTGTGTGTCAAATCACACTTGGCCAGATAAAGTTCAATTCAAGTTCAATTAAGTAGAATGAATTCATCTAATTGTGCCTGCTGTCTGGTTTACCTGGGGGGGCTGACATCCATCCCGCAAGTATCCTAAGTTTCTTTCTCTGACCGTTAAGCCACTGGGGACCCCTGCCACTTTGTCGAATAGTTTCTCAAGGTAGCATCGCTTCCCCTCGTCCCCTAAGGTCATCTATATATGCCATTACAAAAATGCCTATCTGCTTTGCAGTGCTGCAAAAAAAAGCTAACTATTATTCTTTTCTGTTGCCAATGAGTTACAGAGAGATTTACACCTTGCCTTACAGCTTTCTCTGCACATTTTCGAGTCTGTGAGCCATATACCGATTACAAAGGTCGTTCCCACGTTGGATTCCATTGTCCCCGACTTTCGGACAATAAATCATACATCTTTTGCTGTCACCATAACAACACCGTCTTTAAATATTGCTGTAATGAAACAGAGTTTCAGACTGTTATGCAAATGAACTTAACAGGCAGTACAGATGGATACATGCATAAGTAAGTAAATACCATAAACTAAAATTACCTCTTTTTCCTGTAATCAAAATTTGATTTTTCGGTATTCAAAGTTTTACTGAGTCATAAAAGCAGGTAGCAGAAATGTGTTTAATTGCGTGTGTACCTAAAAATAAAAGAAGTAAATAACACTGGAAAATGAGGAGGAGAGGGAATTGCCGTTTTTCTGCAGAGCAGAAATGTTATACTTGGCTAATTGCTATTTTAAACTTGTGCAGACTTTGCATATTAATTACTTCTAATCATCTGTACTTAAACGGTAAGGTGCACTTGATTGTATGATCCCTGGAGTGTACCCTCTTCATAAATTTTCTTTTCATATTTTTATTTCAAATCCCATGGGCTGTTTTTATTGCTTCCCTCCTCCCTTATATTCCCTTTTATTTTTGGAAATCCCTTTTATAAACTCTGATTGAAAAAGGGTGAAGAAAGCAGTTGAATTTCCCAGCAGGTTTGTATATGAAAGTGGTTTTCACCACAGCCCCTGAATTTGCTTCTTAGTGCCTACACTCAGAGTTGAGAAACGGCAAAGTAGAGCCTAGTTGGATAATGGGAACTTCCCCATCAGTGTGTTATTAGTAGAGCTATATACATGGAGTTTCAATTGTGCCTCATGGCTGCCATCTTGACGTTTTTGACCCTCTCCCCTGGAGACACTTAAGTCAATTGGATGCTTCCATTTCCTCTTTCAACCAAGGGTCATTTCTTTTATTTGCACCAATAATTGGATTACTTTGGGGGTAAATTCTGTTCAGAATCAAACATGGCAATGTGATGTTGGTTTATCTGGACAGCACACACAATATTAACCAATTCTGGTCTGTGACATAATAAAAAATTGATTGAGCCAAAGTTTGTCACGAGTCAGGTGAGGGTTAGTTGAAAATTGAAGTGAACGTTTCCAGTTTATCTATAGTTGTGTGGAGAAGGAAGTAAAATGAAAGAAAGATGCACACCTAAAGGATATTGACATAACATTAAACCAGGACTTATGATCTAGGTATCTTGATTGCATCTTCTCCCAGTTCAAGTATTGATCTACATTTGGGGGCTAAAATACATAGAATAATGATCAGTTGATCAACTGATTGATCTCACACTCCAACCCTTGAGGTTTCTGATTATTTTATTTAAATGTCAGGTGGGCTGATGTGAATCAGAATATTTGTTAGTCCCTCCCTATAAGCACTTGCATAGATTGAAAGTTCTGTTGTTATTTCAAAAAGAATGGTCTTTGGCTTCATAGGGCTAAATTTAAAAAAATACATGGGGAATCCCAATACTTTTGAAAGGAGGTCTCACATCCCAGGTCAAATTCAGCCACCTTCTACTTATGCTGGAGTTGACATTCTGCTGGTCTTTATGGAGATGCAGAAGGATAAGACCTCAGTGTAGTAAGTCTTGGGCAGATATAACTAAAGACTCTCTCTTGGAAGCTGGTGGGAAGCAGACAATGATTGGATCTGTGAATGCTCAGACTAAAGTAAAAATCTTCCTCAAAGCTTCTCTCCATCTCTTACACCTCTCTGATGTTACCTTCATAATCTAAAAGAGCTACGTGTTGAGTGCTTAGCTGGAAAAGCTTTGGATCTTCATGCCATCTGATGTTGCCTTTCCGTTTTAACCCAGTTTATCTCACTTTTGCAGTGGTTGCTGGCAACTGAACAGAAAACAAAGCAAGCCTTAAGCTGTTTATGATTCACTGGAGGTGGGGGTGACTTTGTCACTAAAATAACTTATAGAAAACAGGTCAACAATTTGTAAATAGATTTAATAGATTAAAACTTTTGGGACGGCCTGTTTCGTAAGGGATAGGAACTAATGTTGTAGTAAACTATTAATCAGTATTCAGATAGAGGAGATATTATGTGTATATGTGGGTTAGTCAGAGTTAGTTTTGCTTCGACATGACCAAGCAGTGTATTCAATAAACAGTAAACTCTTCGGAAATGGAATGTAACTCAAATTTTATGTGGACTCTTGAGCTGGATGTTGATAGTGTGGTTTTTTGACGTACTTTTTTCTTTTTAATTGTTTTGGGGGTTTTGTCTTTTTTCTCTTTCTTTTGGGCTTTTTTTGGAGTTCTATATTTTGTATTTTAATCTTGTTTCAAATAAAATATATTTTTTTTAAAAAATCTTTTATTTGGAGGGTTTGGGCTTTACACAAACTTTCATGGCCTATTTAAAACATCTCTCCTCAAAATGATCAAAATGCTTGTTAGGCATAAGTTGTTCCCAATGACACAGTCCAGATATCATATAGTGACCCAGTGGTGGGATCCAGCCAGTTTGCACCACTTTGGCAGAACCGGTAGCTAATTTTTTGTTGCCCAGGCCCAGAATGGACTTCCGGAAGCGGCATCCACACAGAGAACCGGTTGTTCACATATTTGAATCCCACCACTGTAGTGACCTCATAACATCCAATCAAAATTGTGGCATTGTTCTCTTTCCTGAGGAGAGGTTGGGGCTATGGAAAAATGCCACCTCTTCAGAAACATCTGTGGGAGGGAGAATAAAACAAGAATAGTAGCTGCAACTGTGAGATAGAAGCCCTGTCTCCTTTTAAAGTTCTTTGAAGCATATTCTAAAAACTGGCAAAGCCTTCAGTTTTTTGGTCATAGCTAAAACTAGACTTTTTTGATATCTTCTGAGGATGCCCCATAGCTGTTCCAATCAATTAGCACCAATGAAGTGAAACAAGTATCGCAAAAAGATGGAAGGTGGTAAATGAAACAGGGTGTGCTGATATCCTGTGAAAATGAGAAAAAAGTGGGTATGGGTTCTTCAATTTATGCTTTTAACAGAAACTTTCTCATTTGCTACTTCCCAAATGTAGGATAGAAAAAGAACCTAAAATGTGCAGTTTCAACACTAATACAGACCATACAAAAGTAGAGATTAAAATGTGAATAACTGGGCCCCAAAATAAATAAAGATAATGATGCATAAGATGTATTTGTTCATAACATTTATTGCTATTATTTTTAAAATATACCAAAAGAGGGATACAATTCAATTCAATAAAATGCATTATATTAAGGAAAGGGCACTGTGAAATACACATACTCTGTTAGGAGAAATATCAGAAGAAATGACCATGGAAATGCATATAAATCTTCTACAATTCACTAGCAAAAAAGATCAGTTTCACTCAAGGACTACAATTCACCTCTTGGTGACTGCTCATGGGTCCTTAATGATGATTTATTGTAACATTAATACTTGAAATTAACAGACCAAAAGAACATCCCTGACACTTTTCATTGCTTCAAAAGGCAGTCATTTCACCTGCTCTTATTTATTCCTTCAAGGTGGTAGCTCAGCTCACTCCACAGATAGCATGCATAATGGAACTTAAGTCACCAAAGTCAACTCCAATTTGCTAAGAAATGCACACACAATAATAGTAGGAGGAACTATAGCCTTGAAAATTGCATCTCAATTTAAAACATTTTCTTACAGAGGTCTGCAAATAGGCTTTCAAAGCAATTCTGTTCCTACTGTTTTCAAACAGTTTCCTACTCTTTGAAGTTTGGTGAGAACTCACAGCAAGGATTCCTCAAAGAAGAGAAAAGGTTTAATCCAGGGCTAGGCAACCTTGGCTCTTTTATGACCTGTGGACTTCAACTCCCAGAATTCCTGAGCCAGCATGGCTCAGCTTGGAAACCTCTCCCTTTCCCCTCAGCATGGCTGGCTCAGGAATTCTGGGAGTTGAAGTGCACGAGTCATAAAAGAGCCACGGTTGCCTACCCCTGGTTTAAGCCAATGTTTTTCAACCTTGGCAACTTTAATTCCCAGAATTCCCCCACCAGCCAACAAAACCCATGACTTATTTGTGCGTGTCATGGTTTTCTACCATTTTTCTAAGGCAGGTTGCCATAAAAATCTATAAAAAGATAAACACCAATACTTAAAGCGTCCCCAAGGCATAAAATGGGAAAATCCCGAGATTAACTAAAAAAGCAAGTTTCAGTGAAAAGCCAAGCCAAGCTGATTTTTTAGGAAACAGAGAAGTGAGGAGGGGCTAACAAACAATTCCCCCCTCCCCAGATGGGTAGGACTCAGAAAAATTCTTTCACATGTCCCTAATGGCTGGCGAGAACTGTTCCAAGAGCTTCTCTTGCAGTTAAGAGGCAGGTTGGAAGCAGATGTGGTCACATGGACAGCTGGACCGTCTAAACCAGTGGTTCTCAACCTGTGGGTCGGGACCCCATTTGGGGTCAGTCGACCATTTCATGGGGGTCGCCAAGCAAGGCTGTCCGCCATTTTTTTGTCCACCATTTTTTTTGTCCGCCATTTTTTCCCCTTTTCCGGTGGGTGCCTTACCTCCCTTGGGCTGGGCCAGCTGGTGGTCGGCCTGCTCCGTCTCTGCCGCTTGCCAGCTACGCCTCGGCCGGCGCAGGGGGCGGAACCACGCATGCGTGGCGCTCCCGGGCAGGGAAAGTCCTCGACTTACGACCGGTTGGGTAGTCCTCGACTTACGACTGGTTTAGTCCTCGACTTACGACCGGTTCAGTCCTCGACTTACGACCGGTTGGGGTCGCGGCATTAAAAAGGTTGAGAACCACTGGTCTAAACGCTATTTTGGCTTTTAAAAGTTGACGCAGTATTTTGCCACCAGAAGAAAATCTCTAGCTCATGGCTGGACTGTCAAGTTCTTGGTGCTCTCTGAGCTGGCTTGTTTGCCAGAAAACATTTCCTCACCCAGCTAGGCAACAAACTCCACACTCACATGGCTGATGACGTTAACTTAAACTGATGGTGTTACCTAGTTTGCGTAATGAAATGTCTGCAAGAAAACAACCAAACTCAGCACCAAAGACTTCTCACTTCAACCCTGAGCTATAAATATTCTTCTTTATTGATGTTGACCTAGTTGGGTTGAAAGGCCTGTGAGCAAACCACCCAGCTCAGGGAACACCAAGAAGTCCACAGCATTTTGAACAAGGATGGGAGACATTTTATTTCATATTCATA